GCATAATTATTCACAGATATGACTGATATAAGTGTTCACGTACAGGTCGATTTAAAGTGTTTTAAAATACCTGTACCCATTTTTAACCAGTGGGCTTCAATATTTAAACCGTGGGCTTCAACTGTGTGGATGTGCTATACAAATCTATTAAAAAGTATATATCAATCTTATCGCCATATAAGGGATCAAATTAATTTTTAATATGGTAAAAATCGTAGCAAAATCTTCCAGTCAAATGAGCAGTAATTTGGAATTTGCTGTATTTTGTATACTACATAATTGAGTGCTGAATGATTTAAGAATAGCCAAAGTTAATTACTTTTTTAAACCCATTAGCAACTTAGATTGTGCATTAGAGTCCTCATAAGTCCCCCTAACCATGTCAGTCTGTTTGTCCGCCAAAAGGTGGACTTGAGAGGGTATTATAACATGGATAAAAATTCTAAAATTTGTAGATATGTTGAAATTTTAGTGTAAGATTTTCACCCCCCTAATACGCATTATTAGCCAAATTCTTTGAAATGTGGTTAAATTAGGAGGTACCTTCTTTATATGGGCACTACTCCGAAACATCGATTTCTTATATTTGTAATTTGTTCATGTTTCCACAATTTATTTCATATGGATACACATCCCAAATCTACGTTCCCAACCAATATTCTCTTGGGGGTTAAAAATTCAATAGAATACAAAATTTTCTTTTCTGACCACACATTAGATGTGAAAGTGGACTTGGGGATACTCCAATGTGGGGACTTTACTTAAATAAATTCCTATGTGGCAATTATCTGTATGATGGTTCCCTACCCCAGGGTGGCATAAATAAAATTTTTTAGCCAAATCAATTGATGAATGTGGTCAATACCAATATGGGCCCTACTCTGAAAATTTCAAATTTTATGCGAAGAGGTTATCTACCCCCTTAGAAACAAAAATGTCAAATAAGGGCCAAAAAATGAAAAAAGTGGCCGGCCAAGACCCCAAAAATAAGTTAAATCATAGATGGTTATATAAATATGAAATCGGGTTGTTCCCCTATCCATGAGTTATGATCGATATAAAGACCTGTAAAAGTGATTTTAGGTATTTTGAATGTTTGGGAAGAATTTCTGGAAGGATATAAAACCTTTTCTTACTAAAAGTCCCATTCGCTCTACTATTTTGCACCTTTTATTTCAATATTGGTATATTACTTATTATTCTCCCAAAGAATTTTGCATTTTGAGCTCTCATTGGACGGATCATTGTCACGCTTTGAAATGAGCCCCATTAAGCTTTTTCGGTCATTTTTGTTTGTTTAAACGTGTTCGCATCTTCCAGCTAACCCACGATGTAGGCCCTGGAGTTGAAAGGTAGATGTCAGTTAACATCCTATTTCGCACTTATTCAATTTTTTTAGTGAAAAATTATTCTTTATTTTGTTCACAAAAAAAAATTGACAAAAAAAAAGAATAACAAATTGAAAAAGTCTTCAACTTTTTCGCTGATTTTTTACAGCAAATGTTTTAAGATCCTTCCTTACAAAGTTTGTCAATAGAATGTACTATTACTTTAAAATTCGATTCCATTGAAAATGTTTTTTTGATTTTTGCAATGAGATCTCTTTTTCATGATTTTTCAGCGATTTAGAAAAAGTAATTATCTTATAACTTTGGTGTGACCGCGTTAAATTATTTCGATATCATCTATTCCGTTTAGCCACCACATAATTCGCTACTACACTTCCATGTAACCCGCCATCAATTTCAGTTCTCAAGAAATCAAGTCAATTAAATAAATTGGTATAAATATTCGAATTCAAAAATAAAATATAAAAAAACACTACAAATGTACATTAGAAAAAAGTAAGTCAAAATGGAAAAAAATCATGCAAAATAAAACATTACTATTGTACATTTGAAAAGTCAAAATGAAAATGTTAATATATCACATTTTTACGCGATTTTCTTGGATATTATCCTTTTCGGAGAGTAGACAACTCCGAATTTGTGTGAATCGTTAAAATTAATCCAGCGGTTCTTAAGTTATAAGCGTAGTAACTAACACAACTTACATTTATATATACACGCAGAGAAGAAAATATGTTTGTTCCAACAATATTCGAAGAGTAAAATATGTATTGTAAAGGTATTGTTGGATTCATTATGTAGTATTGTCAGTCCAACTATTGTTATTGTCGCACTGGTCTATAATAGTTTTGGTCGCAAGTAACAATACTTATTTTTGCAAATCACAATAGTTTAGATCAAAATGAAAAATGAATATTGTAAAATTTATAATAGTTTTTGTCAAAAGTCACAATATTTATTTTTGCCATTAGCCATAGTTTTGGTCAAAATTGAGAATGGCTATTATAAAAACTTACAATAGTTTTGGTCGGAAGTAACAATATTTATTTTTGCACTTTTGGCATAATGGAAAATGAATATTGTTAGAATTTATAACACCCATAGGTTGGAATGATAGAAAATAAAATTATAAAAGATTTTATACCATACCTTTTTAACGTGCATTATTTTAATAAAATATAATATGTCATTTCGAAAAAGAATTTATTTCATATTCTTATATTCTTAAAAATTACAAATAATACTGAACAAATTATAATTAGTTTAAAAAATAAGAGTCTTCTTTGGATGTGCAAATATATGCCGTGTAACTTGATTCTAATGACAATACATTAACCGAAAGGAATTCATTTTCATATTCTATTCTGAAAGCATGGTAGTGAGCATCGAACCCATGCGTTAAAAGCCTTTGAATACACAATAAAAATATATCGTTTATGCTACAAATGTGAACAATTAACCCAAACAACGGTATGTTATCATCATATTCTCCAATGTGCACAACCATGCCCGGCTTAAAGAGGGTTTGTTTGAATTGGAGATATGATATAGTACGCAATGGTATCTCTGAAATAATGTCGTATTTAGAGAAGGTTTCGCCAGGCAATTCCGAAACGTTGCCGATTTTTTATTCGATTCCGTGTTTCGTCATCAGCAACAAGAATATTCTATGTTAAAAAATAAACTGTTTAACACATAATACTTTTATACTTGAGCCTTAGTGCCGGTCCACACTAGGCCAAGTTTTCCACTACTACAGTTTCAAGAATTATTCTAGTATAGAACACGATCTAAGAACACATATTTCAATAAAATTTCTTTCATGAAATTACTCTAGTGGGGTAGGGACTAAGGCTCCACGCAAAACTTAATAAATTAAAAAAAAACAAGTAAAAAAACATTAAGTTCGGCCGGGCCAAACTTTTAATACCCTCCACCTTAGGGTAAAAGAAACATTGGAAGAAATGTGGCAAAAACCATTAAAATTCCGAATATCGGGAGGTACCGTTATATGGGGACTATACCAGAACGTGGACCGATATATCTCATTTTCAATACCAACCATACTAGACACAATGTGAATTGCTCTGCAAAATTTTGGCGCTCTACGTCAAATACTGTGGGCTGTATCGTGATTTCAACAGACAGACAGACGGACAGACAGACAGACAGACGGACAGACAGACAGACGGACATCGTTAAATCGACTTAGAATTTTATGCTGATTATGAATATATATACTTATGGCGTCTACGACGAATATTTAAGGATGTTACAAACGGAATGACAAAGTTAATATACCCTCCTTACCAAGGTGGAGGGTATAAAAATAATATACCTTAAGTACATTAGTTAACATTTTATATGTATTTAACTGTGGATACTGACCTTGCAGTAATAAATGAATGACTCCAAGGATTCTAATTTAGTCCTTTTCCTGTAGTGTGGCAATATGTAAGGAATAAGCATCAAAGAAAGCAAAACTTTGCTATCTAGAAATTACAATTTTGATTTGCTTTTTATATTTAACACAGTTATCACAATACATACCTTCGTCCTGTGCTCTGTTGATGTACGCTAAGATATTTACTACCGTGTTGTCCTTAAGTTGTTCGGCTTTTTGAATTACTTTTTCGTAGTAAAATTTCCATTCGTAAAACTCTTTTGATGATGGATACAGAATTTTGAAATCAATATGTAGCTATTTTGGAAATGAAAACAAAGTCAATTGAAATTAATTAACATAAATTAAAACACACATACCAAGTCATAAAAGTTTTCGTTCAGATAAATGTTGTACTTCTTTATGTAGTCAACCGTAGATAAATTATTATTTTGAAGCTCCTGTTGTCTATACAAATGGGATTTTATCCAAAGGTCTTTTCTCTTACTCCAATCTAAGCCTACGGTTCGAAGAAGCTCTAATTCTTCAGGCGTTACATCCGTTTCTTGAATTAGAGGAACGGGATCCTGATTCACTGTATAGAAAAAACATATATATTAGATTATATTGAAATATACAGTTTGTCAAGTAATTGTTTTCGAATAAAGAAAACGAACAATATTTGGATAAATTTATAACAAAATTCAGATAATTTTAATAAAAACGTAGTTGATCTACTTGCAACGTTTAAAATAAATTTAAAATTTACCTACGTAAACAAGAATAATAACGTTTACTGTTCATTTTCTTGGTTCAAAAATAAGTATTGAAGAACCTGTATATGTAAAATTGGGTATAATTACATTTTTTTTTTAAATTTGTACGCCTATTTATAAGTCCTTGTGTGCTTAATTTGGTTCTTTTATTATTATAGGAGTCAAATAATTTTCCTTTTGCCAAGTGTCCTTTAGTGAAAGGTACGTAGTAAGTTTCAATTACTTCTGATGGGAACACTTCTATAATAGATTGTGAAAGTTTTAAAAAATCCTCTTTGTAAATACTGTGAAATAGAAACAAAAATCAGTGAAGGTAACTCAATAGTAAATTAATGTTATTTTACCGTCTATTTGGGTTTTCTCTCAAGATATGTGATATAATAATCTTTGCAATATTTGTTCTGTCTTTGTTTTCCAGGGTATTATATTTCATTAAATGTCGTATTTCAGCCAATTTTTTAATTTCCTATACCAAAAGAAAATCAAAAGGTTTTCAAGATTCCTAAGTTTTTCAATATACCTCTGTTGTAGGAATACTAGAATAAACATGTCTGTCAACTGAACTATTATGACTTAAGCATAAATCGTCATCATTAAGCGTTTGGTAAATTTCGGACGATGTATTTTGAAAAAACGGGTTTTTGTGACCTATTTGACCCGGATAATTGCGATTCGATGTCTGCGGTCGAATTTGATGCTGAATTATCATCTAAAAATGAAAATGTGTGAGAAATATTGATCAATAATCATTAATTACTGAAATACTTACCACTTAATTTTATGTCCAAAACAAAATCGGTTGAAGATATGTATTGTTGAACCAAAGCGGTGAATATTCTTGGAATTATTAGAAAATTCTTATTATAAATTTCCACTTCAGCTGCCGGTGGTATATTATAAGTTTTCTTAACTACAAATGTAAACAATAATATTTTATTTAAAATTAATTTTAACATCAATTTGAAATTCAGCATTCGCAAGGCCATCAGCTTATTTATTTTAATTGTAATTATCCACTTGATGTTATTTTTACTTCAGCTGATGTTAAGTAAAACAGATCTACAATTATTTGGCCACAATAAAAACAAACCAAATCTATTTCTCTTGAAGCTTTCTTTTCATTTTCTCTTTTGTAACGTCTGCTTCAATCAACTTTTTTTGTTTCAGCTATTCAAACTCACACACAGATTCTAAAGCAGTGGTTTCTTTGATTTAAACTTTGCCGGTATTGCAAAACATATTGGGTTGAATTTAAAATCTAATTTACACGCAGGGTTTTCGACGCAGAAAGCTGGTGGTTTTCTGTTTCTAACAAATTTGATGACACTACAAGAAAAGGGAAGAGAGAGTAACGTTGTTTGTTTGTTTTGTTCTTTATTTCAACAACCAACCACCACGCTTCACAAAAAAAAAAAAAAAACACGCGAGCAAAACAAAACAAAAAATGCACAATGCCTACTATGCTGTCTTTGTTGTTAAATTTTTCACATACAATACACCAACAGTTGTAAAATATTTAAAGAATTCACTTTATTTAATGATGTCAAACTTTTATGATTTGAAATACTTTTTTGTTTAAACTTTTCACATTTGTATATTACCTTCATTTGCAAACAATTTATAATCATTAATTCCATCAAATAACACTGCAACAAATTCATTTTTGTTTTGGAATGTTGTTTTTAAAAGCTTGAAGTCACTCATGTCTATTTTTGTTTTGAACCACCTTCTTCAAATCCCGAACAAAAACTGATTTCGGAGAAGACACAAAAAACTTCACCGGCTGTTGAACACAAAAAAAGAGAGCACGACAAAGAATGCAACTTCAAATAGAGTAAATACTGAGCGAGTTAACGGGAGGGAGATAAGAAAATAAAAAATGTGTATCTCCTGAAAAAAAGCAATTTCAAACACCAAAAAACCTGTTATTAATGACAATATTTTTTGTAAACATTCTAAATTATGACGAGTCTAACTATCGGTATTGTTAACGATTTTTACAATACTTCGGAATTAGGAAAGTTGTTTTTGTTTTTTATGTTTGGAGCAAAGATTGTGTTTTTGGATTTGCAATTGCAATGTTTGTAGAAAACAAATGAATTTCTGGAACAAAAACATACATGATTGTTCCAACAAAAGCGACAAATATTTTTTCTCTGCGTGTATAGATAAAATATTTTTCAATTAAAAATTTATTCATGAAAATAAATATTGGTTTAAGAAAATGTATTTAGTGTAAATCCCATGTGACTCATTGTGGATAAACCCCACAATCTAGATTATATCCGGATTCTCATGCAGCTATTCACACATTTAAGTATTCTCAAAAACAATACACCTGTCTACGCTTGTCTCATTAGCTTCCTCTTAATTGGGGTTTTCACGACTTTAAACAAGAAATGTTCATTTCCCTTCGGCTGATGCAATCTTGACAAATTTATTTGTAATATTTCATCATTTAATGGCAAGATGTGAATGTGAGCCATTGACATTAAACGAGGAATGTTTTTTATGTTTGACAGATAGTCAGACATGTCAATAGCTTAGCTGACGGAGATAGAAGCGAAGTTATTTGAAGAAAGTTGTACATATTAAAAGTATTAACTAGTATACTTTAAAATCCTTCATCGTAAACCTATATGGGTGATTTGAGTAAAATTTTAGCAAGTTACTTCATTTTGTTCGGAAGCTCTAGTGTGTTGCAACAGATGGACGGACATAGAATTTTATGCTGATCAGGAATATACAAACTTTGTGGGTCAAACGCCATATTTTTTTTTAAATTTTATTGAACGAAAGCAAAAAATGCCGGAAATAGCATCACATTTTAGAACAAGTTTAGATTTGTTCGAATTGGTCACCTTTGGCACGAATTATGGCATTTAAACGGCCAAGGAAACCGTCACACGCTGCCCGAATGTTGCTCTGTGGTATTTTAGCCCACTCCCGGCGAAGCGCTTGCTTGATGTGATCGACAATTTGCTGTATTTTAGTGTCAACCTTGCTTTACCAAATAATCCAGACACAAAAGTCCAACGGATTGGTATCCGAAGATTTTGGTGGCCATTGTGCGTTGGCAATGAAGGGAGGAAACAAATTTTGTAACCATTCTTGGATGGCGCGTGCTGAGTACGATGGTGCTAAGTCCTTTTGGAATGTCCAAGGTCTGTGGCCAAAATGTTTGCGTGCCCAAGGCTTTAATACATCCTCCAGAATATTTTCGTGATAATATTCGGCATTTATTCTGATGCCACGGTCGATTAATACGAGAGGAGAGGGGCTATCGGCTGTTATGGCGGCCCAAACCAACACCATGGAAGGCGCTTAAGTACTGATGGCTAAACGAAGGTGCACATTTTAAGCTGACCTCTTTGCCAAGTAAACACGATCATTTTATTTGCTTACAAGCTGCTGGACAACGAATGTTTTCTCATCGGATAAAACCAAATTCGGCAGTTCAACACTTTCGGCCAAGCGAAGCAACTCTTTAGCTCTTTTGAGTCTATTTTCTTTTTGTTGCGGTGTAAGTTCTTGCACTTTTTGGAATTTCAATGGCTTTACTCCGAGCTCATTTTTCAATATTTTCCGAATGGAATATTGCTAGCTCACGAGCCATTTTTCGGCCACCGCCGGGTTCAATCAGTTCAATTTTCGAACCATTTCTGCTGATGTTGCTGTTTTCTTCCGTCTACTTCCTTGACGTCGGGCTACGCGGCCATTATCACGGTAACGAGCGGTGGTACGAGACACAAAAGATTTATTCACATTTAAATGCTGGAGTGCCACGTGTGGTTTTCCTGCCAACTATAAAGAAATCACACTATCACGCCTGAATTCCATCACGAATAACTTTTTTTAAACAATATAATGAGCTGTTACTGGAATAATTTTAACAGCTGTCGGACGAGTGGCTTAAAAATAACAACAGTCTAATGTTGGTTGCAGTTTTTTCATCACCACCTGTATGTTTACGATATATGTGTTTATTTCTCTTTCGAAACGAGCTTACTGATTTGAATCTACAGTGGTTGCAACAAATGGACGGGCATAGAATTTTATGTTGATCAAGAATATGTAAACTTTATGGGGTCATATATACATATTTCATACACACACTACTGTAAACAGTATAAAAATTTCCATAACATGATTGCATAAAAACCCCCTAAGCAGTTATACAAATGTTTCCTCCATACGACGCATATTATGGATCAGTTATTAATGCTTACGAAAAATTTCTCAATTTACCTGATGGATCGCATTACAATCACAAATCAGTGATTTAAGGCATTTTTTCGCTTTTCGAAGAGAATAAATTATATAAACATACCTTTAGCAATGGATATTAGAAGGTAATATATTTTGTGGCTTAAAAGCCGACAATGAAAAATCTCTTTTAAATAATTTATTGTGCGTATGATCTTAACCTTGAAATATGTTAAAGATACTTTTTTGGAATGACCGCAGAAATGGGAATTTAGTGGAATAAAATGTGGGAGTGGAAGAATATTCGGATTTTAAGTTTAATTTATGTATGTCGCCATGATGCTGTTTATGGCAATATTAGTTAGTATTCGTTTCACAAATTTCAGCTTCAATTTTAAATATTTTAATTCTTTTTATACTCTTAGCTATATGACTACGGATACGGAGTATATATCAGAAGATACGGCTAAAACGCGCTTTACCGAAATAACGGTAGTAGACCCTAGGTCTCTAGGACCAAATAAATTTCAGGACATTTGGAGTCGATCTAGCGGTGTCCACGGTGTCTCTCGAAAGGAGTATCTGATTTGGCTCAACCTGGTACATTGTAATATTGTTGTCAAACTGAGATGAGATATTATTGTCGCGTACTGAGATGAACAACGTCGGTCCTCTGCTTTTAGTACCTTTCCCACAAAAGGTCAAAATTTGCAAAGAAAATGATTTACCTCATCGAAAGAGAAATGATCATTCGATTTTGTGCATACTACAACTCACAACACTATTTTCAGAGCTAGGTTATGTGCGAAAATGGAGAATATCTCCAACACAAAGGGTCAAAATTTCGAATAATTATGACTCTCATAAAATGTGAAATAAGTATCTGACTCAATCTTAATATTTCTACTAACACAAGATCTGGTGTGAATATGGAATCGGACTACTGCTTCTGGTACCTTCCCCAGAAAGGGAATATAAAATGTGAAATAAAGCTTCGATTGTCTTCAAATTTCGCACATCCCAATACTTTTATTAACAATAGATCTGGTGTGAAGGTAGGATATATGGGTCCACTCTTCTGGTACCTCCCAAAAATTGTGACAAAAATTTTTAATAATTATATCCCTCATAAAATACGAAAATACATAATTTAATTAATTTTATTTGTACTGACGCAAGTTCCGTTGTGAAAATGATAGACATACGTCTCGCCTTCTCGCACCTCTCCCACAATGCTTCACGGTTTTCAATACATATATCTCTCATAGTAGGTAAAACACCAGATTATTCCCAAAGATTTAGTAGTAGATATCTGATTTCTTTCAAAATTTTCACATCCCAATATTTTCATCAGTATTAGATGATGTGGAATATTTTGGTCCATATATCTGGTACCTCAAGCATACATAATTATTACGGGCACGTTGTAATATATACAGGGTGAGATGAAAAAACTGCAACCAACTTCAGACTGCAGTTATTTCTAAGCCACTCATCCGACAGCTGTTAAAATTATTCCAGTGACAGAATTTTCCAGAAAAAAAGTTATTCGTGATGGAATTCATGCGTGATATTCAAGCTGGTGATTTCTTTAAATTTGGCTGGAAAACCAAAAGTGGCTATCGTTAGAGAACTCCAGCATTTAAATGTGAAAAATCTTTTGTGTCTCGTACCATCGCTTGTTACCGTGATACTGGTAGTGTAGCCCGACGTCAAAGAAGTGGACGGAAGAAAACAGCAACATCAGCAGAAATGGTTCGTAAAGTAAAGAAGCGACTTGATCAAAACCCGCAGAACATATTGCAATATTCCATTGGGCAAATATTGAAAAATGAGCCATTGGAATCCCAAAAAGTGCAAGAACTTACACCGCAACGGAAAGAAAATAGACTCAAAAGAGCTTAAGAGTTGCTTGGCCGAAAGTGGTGAACTGCCGATTTTCCAGCAGATTGTAAACTAACAAAATGATCGTGTTTACTTGCCAAAGAGGTCAGCTGAAAATGTGCACCTTCGGTTGGCCACCAGAACTCAAGCGCCGGCCTTGGTAATGGTGTGGGCCGCCATAACAGCCGATGGTCGTTCTCTCTCATATTAATCAGAATAAATGCCGAATATTATCGCGAAATGCCTTGGGCACGCAAACATTTTGGCCGCAGACTTTGGACATTTCAACATTACTCAGCACCATCGCACTCAGCTGGCGCCACCCAAGAATGGTTACAACAGGAGGTTCCTCGCTTTATTTCATGCGTACCGTTTTACTATTGTGTCTGCAGTATTTTGGAAATCAAGGTTGGCACTAAAAATAACAAAGTGTCGATCACCTCAAGCAAGCGTTTCGCCGGAAATGGGCCATAATACCACAGATCAACATTCGGGCAGCGTGTGACGGTTTCATTGGCCGTTTGAAGGCTATAATTCGTGCCAAACAAACAAATCTAAACTTATTATAAAATTTGATTCTATTTCCGACATGTTTTGCTTTCATTCAATAAAATTTAAAAAGAAACAAAATGTAAGAATTATGGCGTTTTGAATTTGTTGCAGTTTTTATACCCTACAACACTATATGTTGATTATACCCAACAACACTATATGTTGAGGGTATTATAGGTTTGATTGGGCTAGAATTTATGTAACACCTCGAAATATTGGTTTCCCATATAGGAAAGTATATATGGATCTTCCTAGCTCGCCGAGCTGAGTCGATCTAGCTATGTATGTCCGTCCGTCCGTCTGTCCGTCTGTCCATGTTAATTTGTAATCACTCTACAGGTCGCAATTATGACCCGATCTTCACGAAATTTAAAATGTAGGTGGGGTTAATGTCAGAATAGAACCCTATTTCTTTTGGAGATGATTGCCAAATGTTTAGGGGTTGAAATGGACCAAATACTGAAAAAATGTCAGATTTTGCAGTAGCTATACTGG